CCAGGACCACGCGCCAGGTTTTCCTAAGCACGTTTCAGAGCCAGGCCGACGCCCAGCCCGAGGCTGAGGCCCAGCCCTCGAGTCCCGAGTCGCCAGAGCCCCAGTGGGAGACGAAACCAGCCAGTTCTGCCGCCGAGAATGGTGTTCAGGAGCATGAAGTGTGAATGTCAGGTTAGCAAGCCTGGAGCGCTCACCAGCCCGGCCGGTGACAGCAGCATTCCCCGCACAGGCACAGCTGTGACCAAACCACCTGCTCCCGCGCCGGGAACAGGAGGGGGAGCCAGGGGCCTCGGGGAGGCAGATGCCCCTGCAGGTCTCCTGAGGCTGATTCTGCCGCCTTGACTCTGGTTACAGACGGGGACTCTGCCATCCCCTCCCTTCTTCTAAGTACACACTGAGAGTTCAGTCCGACTGAATTTATTCAGAGCTTACAAAAATGTTTTATGCTGAGCTCTTCCGTTATTTGCAAAGGAACTAAAGGAAAGAGAACGCGGGCTCCCTACCCAGAATCAAAGCATGCCCGGAGAGCCATGGACCGGAGCGGGAGCCAGAAGGACGATGTGGCGGGCGCGCTCTCATTCAGCAGCGCGCCAGGAAGAGGCCTACTTTGAGGAGCAGGATGGTGGCGGACAGCCCTGGCCGGAGGGTGGAGGCCGAGCTGCTCCTCTTCTTGGGCCGCGGCCCGTTGCACAGGGGGGTGTTACAGCAGCTGATGCACACCGAGTTCAGCTTCCCGGGGGAGCAGAAGGACTGGTACCCGGCCGAGGCGATGAGGCAGGCTGCGGAGGAGGCACACGACTTGCGATACATGATCCCTGCAACAGGCGCAAAGGAGCCGGGTTAAGCTGTGCGGGCAGCGGACACCATCCTTCCTACCCCTCCCAGCCCAGAACCCGCGTGGGGCAGGGGGGCGCTTTGGGTTGTTTTGCTGAGCCTCCCCAATACACGAGTTGCACGGGGAAGAAGGCAGTCCTCACTGCACTGTTTGGACACGATTGTTCCAAAAGCGATCTGCGATGCACTGCCAGCGAATAAAGAGCTGTCAAATCAAAGTCCACCTTTTTAAAAGTCAGAATTCACACTATACTAGATACAGAGCTTTTTACCTTGTTGCTGCTCGAACTATTTCATGCTAGAGAGGACCACGAGCTGTTTGCCTAGATCTCACCTATATTATCACTTTATCAGCGACACAGAGAGATGGCACTCCACGATGTTTTTATTAAATCATGGAATGTTCTCAGTAAAGACCAAGTCCCAGTGGGAAGAGATCCCTAGTAAGGGGCCCTGATTTCTCCATGTTTGGAGAACAGCCTTGTTCTCAGGGAAGAAGCTTGCCTATAGAACACATGGTCATTTGCCCAGTGAGCATTACACAGCTAGCACTTAACACGCACCTGGGGGCACACAGACTGGTGGGCTCACCTTGAGGAGGACAGGTGTCATGTCTACATTGCAGCACAGCGTTCAAATTGGGTGTCTTGGACCATCCTGTGACTCCCTAAAGCTGGAAGTACATCAATGATGCTAACAGCTCAGCTTATGTGCTTTCCTGCATGCCAGGCACTCTTCAGAGCTGTGGCGTCCTAGATCCTTCTCTACTTTCCGGAGAGGCCCCCGTGGTCATCCCCATTTTATAGATGGGCTGCCTTGGGCAAGAGAGGTTTAGCTGACTGGCCCAAAGTCACACAACTAAAATGTATTTGCAGCTAGTATTCTGGCTCTATGCCATCAAGTCTATATTACCGTCTATGTAGCAAAGCAGACAGCCAATAAACCACAGGGTGGTTTTGTTTTCTTTTAGGTGGGGGGAGGCTTTACTCTGAAGACAGCCTTTGGGGTGTGTGTGGCTCTTTTGTATCAAGTATTTTTACTGAGACATAACTTGTAATGCTAAGGTTTGTCCTCAAAGTGAATGGCCTTACCTCTCTACTGCCCTCACAGCAGTAGGATACATTCTGGCAGTGGCCAGGGAGTTCCTCCGACACCCCGTAGGTGTGTGTTTGCAGGGATTGCTTTGGTTTGAGGCGCCCCCACCCCCACTCCCCTGAGAATGGCTTCTTTAGGTGCAGGAGAAACAGTAAAGACAAACTGCCCAAAACTTCCAAGAAGGAGGCAAAGAAGTGCCTCGGATTTTACATTAAAACACAGTTTGGTCATTTTTTTCTATATACATCTGTAAGGATTGCTTTTCTACCACCATTAGAAAATCCTGGACGTAGATGCTCTGGTAAGATAATTCCTGTGGACAAAGGATATGTGTGGGGGCAGGGGGAGAGAAGAGGCACTATTTAATTTCTGAGGAACATGCTATATAGTCTCTACATTTTCTATCTATTGCCCATGGTAGGGAATTAAGTTTTGCTCACTATCTTTTTATTCTTAAATATTAAAAACACTGTCAGTTCAACTTTAGAAAACCTTTTCCTTTAAGTAAATATTAAAAATTCAAAAATACTTATTGAATATAATTTCCACTGTGAAAAACATTCAGATAAGGTGACCACCACTTCCCATCCCAGGTTCTCCTCAGAGGTAAGCACTCTTATCAGTTTCAGACGCTTCCTTTCAGGCCTGTTTCTATGCATTTTTATATATGCCCTTGGAGAAATAAAGTGTGTGTGTGCACACAAGCATTTGTGAACAGCATCGCATCCTATATGCTGTTCTATAATTTGCATCTTTACTTAGTGACATGGCTGAGGATTTGTTCTTAAGCCTCACTTTGCAGGGCTCAGCATCGGTGATGAGGTAGGTTAGTTATATAATGCATAAGGGGAGCCTTGAATTTTGCAACTGCCACCAGCAGATACCTCCAGTTTCTTGACTCTGGTGGCCACTGGGGCTTAACACTGGTCCCACAGGGCTGTATATTTTTAAAGCTACTTGAGGGTCTGGCTCCCAATCAGTCTGAATCTAGGTGCTGACGGAGCTCCTCCTCTTTGGGATACTGGCTGATTGTGGCACATCCTACCCCACTGGAAGCATTTAAAAACAGGTGGCTTGGGCAATCACAAGGTGCCAGAGACAATCAAGAGGTAGGGCAGGTTTGAGTGATAAGGTTCATCTCTTACACAAGGCCAAGCATTTGAGACTGGAAGAGGGGGCTTTTTGATCTAATCCCTAGAAACTAGCACAGAGACTCAAGAAATGAAGAAACAAAAGGAGGTAAAACTACAGAAAATAAAACCTTAATGAGATGAAGATAAATCATTTATCTGATAAAGAGTTCAAAGTAATGGTCATAAAACGGCTTACTGAACTGGGTAGTAGAATGGGTGAATACAGTTAGAATTTCAACAAAGAGACAGAAAACAAGTACCAAAGAGAAATTACAGAAGAGATGAATACAGTAACTGGATGGAAAAATACACCAAAGTGTTCAACAGCAGACTAGATAAAGCAGTAGGGTCCATCAGCTCAAAGACAGGGCAGTGGAACTCCTCCAATCCATGCAGCCAAAAGAAATAGAATGAAAAAAAGATAAGATATCTTAAAGGACATCAAGTGGACTAGCATTCACATTATAGGAGTTCCAGAAGATAAGAGAGGCAGAGGCAGAAAATTTACTTGAACAAATACTAACTGAAAACTTTACTAACCTGGGGAAGGAAACATACAGACAGGAAAGGCAGAGTTCCAAGTGAGAAGTACCCAAAGAGAGACAGACTGAGGCATGTTAAAATTAAAAAGCTCAAGACATTGAGAGGAGCTTGATAGTAGAAAGAGAAAAACTTATGTACAAAGGAACCCCCATGAAGCTATTGGATTTTTCAGCAGAAATTTTCCAGGCCAGAAGGGAGTGGCAAAATCTTAACAGTGCTAAAAGAAAACATTCCAACCAAGAATACCCTACCTGGCAAAGTTATTAGAACTAAAAGAGTGATAAAGATTTTTTTTTTTAAAAAAAGACTTTTCCAGACAAGTAAAAGCTAAAGGAGTTCACTACTCAACCATAATTACAAGAAATGTTAAAGGGACTTTCATAAGCTGAAGGAATAGATGCTAATTAATAACAAGAAAACATGTGAAAGTATAAATCCATTGGTAAAGGTAAATATATAGTAAAGTTAGTGTATTAATCACTTAAAAGCAAAGGCAGTATGAAGGTTAAAAGATGCTGTTACAATAACTACAATAATTAGTTAAGGCATACACCAGATAAAAAGGTGTAAAATGTAATAACAAAAACATGAAATGTTTTTTGGGGAGGAGAATAAAAATGTAGAGCTTTATGATGCATTCAGACTTAAATTGTGACCAACTTAAAATAGAGTCAAGAAAAATGAAGAAATAAAAGAACAAGATAAATCTTTAGAAAATAAAACCTTAATGAGATGAAGATGAATCATTTATCTGATAAATATAAGTTGTGTGTAAGCCTCATGCTAACCACAAAGCAAAGACCTATAGGTACAAAAAAATAATGAGAAAGGAATCTAAACATACCACTAAAGAAAGTCATCAAACCACAAAGGAAGAGAGCAAGGAAATAAAAAAGGGCCAGAAGAACTACAAAACAGACAGAAAATAATTAACAAAATGGCAATAAGTATATACCTGTCAATAATTACTTTAAATATACATGGACTAAATTATCTAATGAAAAGACAAAGTGGCTAAATAGATTAAAAAAAACACAGAAAAATAAGACCCATCCCATATGCTGCCTACAAGAAGCTCACTTCAGATGCAAGGACACATACAGATTATGAAGGGTGGGAAAAATAGTCCATGCAAATGGAAGCCCAAAGCAAGCTGGGGTAGCTACGGTTATATCAGACAAAATGAACTTTAAAACAAAGACTGAAATAAGAGGCCAAGATTGCGTATCATTAGATAATGGTAAAAGATCAATCCAACAAGAGAATATAACATTTGCAAATATTTATGCACCCAATATAGGAGCAGCTAAATATATAAAGCAAATATTAATAGAGCAAAAGGGAGAAATAGACAGCAATACAATCATAGTAGGGGACTTTAATATGCCACTAGCATGAATGGATATATCATCCAGACAGAAAAATCAATAAGGAAACATTGGCTTTAAAAGGCACATTAGACAACATGGACTACATATGTGTATATATACACACACACAGAGTCAAGAAAA